AGTCTATCGATAAAGCACGTGCGTTTTTTAATATAGCACACACACACACACACACACATAGAAACACCAACTAAATAAAAGACATCACATAGTGGTTTAATTGTTATAAATTTATTCAATTAAATAAATATATATATATTTAAGATTCTGCAAAATAAAAAACACATTTAACGCAAAAAAAGTAAATAAATAAATAAAAATAAAACTGCCATAAAATGTCTTCACATTTCTTAAATAATAATAATAATTTTTTATTTAATTTGATCATTTTGTTTTTCGTTCACTTTTGAAGACTCGATACATGTAAGACGCATCTCATTTGACTGCACTTGGCTTTTCAGTTGTAGCTACGAATTCCTAATGATATTATAAATAAATTAGCATTTAACATGAACAATTTGTAAAATAAAAAAATTAAGTACACACACACAAACGCACACCAGCTAGAGTAAAGAAAAAAGTATATGATATACGATTATAGAGTAAATTTATGCCAATTGTATGCAGTACTCTAGACACTAAGCCATAGAACCCTATATACTATATTAAATGATAACTATATAATAATAACAACAATCAAATTTTTGGCAGTTTTTCCAATTAGCATAAATAAGCGAGCAAATGAGCAACTCATTTAAATATTAAGACAAAAATACTTTATTTAACAAACAACAACAAAGAAATGCACTAAAAATAAATAGAAAATAAATTTATATTATAAATAAAAAAAAAAAAAACTGAAATTAAAAATTTATAGAAAAGCGCAACTAGAAATCAATTTATAAAGAAAATAAAAAATGGATGAAAATAAAATTCTGTAAAAAAATGATTTGGAATTTCTATTTATTTATTATTGAATATATAAAAAAAAATTCTCAAAAAATAGCCAAAAAGCACAATTTGTTGAAAGATTTTTATGATTTTTGCTCACACTTACATGGAAATAAATAATATTTACACATAAGCAGAACTACATATGAGAATTGCAAAGCTGTACATGTACTGATGACGAGCAGTGTATATGTGTGCATGGGGTGACCAAGCAAGAGTTTAACTATTTTCAGGGATTATATTAGAGCAGTTATTTGAGGAAATACGTTATTAAATTTTCTTTAATTTTTGCTAATTAAACGAGCTAGAGCTTTAAAGTAATTCCTTAAGTTTTTATACATATACTGACATGGATATAGTGTCAGAACAAATCTAAAAATTCTGTTTATTTCATTAAAATTTCATTTTAATTTAGTGAACATGAAAATAAATAAAATTCTTTGCCAATTTTTGCTATTTGGTCACCCTAAAAACATATATATGCATGCAAAATATCTAGTAAATCAAGAAGAAGTAACTTTAAAAAGATCTGTACTCAACGAGTCACTGTTATAGTCACAGTCACAGTCACAGTCACAGTCACGTTTCTTCACAGACTTTTGTGCGTGTGCCAACTGTGTTTAAACTAGATTTCAATTCAACAAAGCAAAAACAGAAGAAAAGAAGAAACGTGCACGAAATTAAATTAAAAAATAAATAAAACAAAAAAAAAAACAAGTAAATAAAACACACGACATATAATTTATTTGAAAAGTAAACAAATAAAATATATCGAACAAGTGAAAAGCAAATGAATGTAGAGATCAGCTGTGTAAATAGACGAAACGGTAAGGCGAGAAAAACTGTCAAATATATTTCAACAAAAAATAGTTTTCATTATTCAGACCCCGCCCGCGACTGGGCTCATAAATTATTTCTGTTGCCATAAGTTTCACTTGTATAATAAACAAAAAAAAAAAAAAGAAAAGACAAATGAAAACGATATTAAATATATAAAAGAAAATATATAAGTATAAATAGTACGATATAGTATGAGAAAATAAAAACAAAATAAAACTTATAATGATGACGCACTGAATCAAATAGATGAAACGAGTATTTAAAATATATATATATATAAAATGAAAAAAAAAAAACAACAAACAAAAAATAAAGAACGACAATTAAAAACCAAAATGAAAACAAAACTTGAACAAGAATTTTAAAAATACCTAAAATGGCGTTTGTTTCATTCGGAATTGCTTTCAGCCATGGCTATTTGCTGGCGCTGATTGCGCTCATCCTGGCCAAAAGGCTCGCCACGTCGGCGTCAGAGCTAAGGCAGCGGCCAAGGCTCGAGGCGTGGCTCTAACTGGGTTGGCTGACCCGCATGGCAATAGCCACAGGTACGACTATTGATGCCCCGCATTCCTTTTTGGCCATGCTCAGCCAAGCCTCTGCTCTGCCACGCCCACACGCACACACACATCATTTGTCATCTGCTCTGGCTGTTTGCTCAACTGTGGCGCTGTTTATTGCCGCCAGCTGACTTCATTCGTCACTCGCTCTTACTCTCCCTCTCACTCTCTTTCCCGCTCTCTCTTTAGTGACCATCAGCTGCATCACCTGCAGTCTAGGCCAAATGGCGTTGATAAGCTCAACTACGAGGGCTGTTCATAGAATGGGTAAACTAGCAAAAATGGTCCAGGCGGAAATAACCGACTGTCTAATAGCTGCTAATGCTTGGTTTTACCTAGGAGACTTTATTAATTAAGTAGTTTGCTTAAGAATAAAAGTTGCAATAAATTTGGTATTTTTAGTATTTTTTAGTATTTTTAGTATTTTTTAGTATTTTTTCGGTATTTTCTTTTGTTTTCATGTAAGAGTTGGTGTTTCAACTGCGAGGGCTGCTCATAAAATGGGTAAACTACCAAAAAAGACTCCAGGTGGAAGTATTCTACTGTCTAATACATGCTAGTACTTGGTTTTATTTAGTCAGCTATATTAATTAAGTAGTTTGCTCAAAAATAAAAAATTGCAAAAATTTGGTATTTTTTCGGTATTTTCGATATTTTTCCTCTATTCTCATGTAAGAGTTGGTGTTTCAACTGCGAGGGCTGTTCATTAAATGGGTAAACTAGCAAAAATGGTCCAGGCGGAAGTAACCGACTGTCTAATAACTGCTAATACTTGGTTTTACTTAGTCGGCTATATTATTTTTCAGTATTTTTCAGTATTTTTGGTATTTTTTCAGTATTTTTCTTCTGTTTTCATGTAAGAGTCGTTCATTAATTTTTTATTTATTATTATTTATTTAATTATTTTTATTTATTATTTCTGTTGTATAAGATTTTAACTAAATTAAGTTGTCTTTCATTTATAGAAAGAAATATATATATTTTTAATATACATATCTACATTAATGAGCAACTCTTACAGCACGCCTCGCCACTGTTATGCTATGTGTCTGCTGCTGCTGCCGAGTCCACAAACATGCACAAATGTATTTGTATTTGCGCCGAGAGCCAATTGAAGTTGTTTACAATTGAATTGCACGTTCAGCACAATTGTTAAACCAGCAACAACAACAAAAACAACTGACTACAACAACAACAATAGTGAAAAACTTATTGCACACTGATAAGTAAACTGTTGGCAGACACTGTGCAAAGTGGCCAACAAATTCAAGTTACTTCTAAATGAGCATTATTCTGCTCATCATCATCATGATCATCATGATTATTATGTTTGTGGTTAGCTTGTATGACACATCAAATTCACTTTTCGTCCAAAAATCTGTGCAATCTGCTGACAGAAATTTCTTTAAACAATTCACGATTGCAAATCGATTTCAATTGATGCTGCATCTGCTCTTATATAATCGCGCCATCTCGCTCGCACGCTATGCGGCTCACACTTATCTCAGCTAATTGTCGTTAACATAAACAACGGCAATTAATTTATGTTTGTTTTTATTTTTTTCTGCTATTTGTTTAACTCTTTTTTTGGTCTTGTTTCTTTTGTATAATTTTAGTGTTGACTTTGCGTTTTTCGATTTTTTTATCAAGAAATTTACATGAATTTTCAGCTTGTTGCAAAAAAGTCGAAACAATCAATTTTTTGCTGCTCGATTAAAAAAAAAAAAAAATTAAATTAAATAAAAAAAGAAAAATTCAGAAAAAAAAGAAATTTATATATATTATAAATTTATATATAAAGCGCAAACTTTTTGGCCAACAGCCGACAGACGCCAGCACGAAAATTGAGATATCGCAACCGAGCAGTGCTTATAAAAAGTATATGCCTAAGAAAATACTGATAACGCTAAAAAGTTACAAAACTAACTTCCTCTACTCATGTTTTAATGTACTTTTAAAAACGAAGTTCAGCTGTTCAATTAAAGCCAAAGATTTCATTACAAGCCCGTAAACACATTCTATAGCTCAGGTGTCAATGGTGCGCATTCTTACAGCGCTCACTGTTCTACCAATAAGCATAGGGTCAATGTGCTCCAAGTGCGAGACGGACTGAAACATGTAAATATAATTAATTTCTACAGAAATTTCAGCAAAAATATTTCCAAAGATCAAATTTGAAAGAGAAGTGGCAAAAGAATAAAGAATAAAAAAAAAAAAACTATAAATAAATTACCAAACTTTGGCCGGAAAGGTCAAGTCTTGGTTCAGCGGGCGGAACAAAAGACAAACCTGTTTAAATAATTTGTATAATCATATATACATATGTATGTTTATTGAATTTCTGTACGATTCCAGAAGACAGAAATTCTAAACATCTGTTCAAAGACTGACGAACAATTATTATTAATACAGGCAACTGGATATTTATCATTATTTGACGACGGTTTGGTACGTTCACAATCTGTTCAAATATTAGCGGCCCAAATAGTACACTTAAAAAAAATTAAAAGAAAAAAGTGGATTTCGATGCCAGCACTAAAACTCTAAACTGTGGACAATAACAAAAATGCAGACATCAAATGGCGCACAGTGGCGTCCCACGATATTGTGCCACTGCACGTGAGTTAAAGAGCGCAAGCGAAGAGAGATGTTCGATCGAATGAGTGTGCAAAAGAAAATGGTAAAAGCAGCTGGTGGCAGCTGGCAAAAGCAGCAACAGCAACAACAAACGGTAAACGTAACTAGCGCTCAGCGCAGACGCAAACGTCGACGTTGCGACGAAGCGGCCGCAGCCGCAGCTACAGCAAAGCCGATCAACATTTGAAGTTGGGCCAAAAAGGCGGCCAAACGCTCACAGGAACATTCAGTTGTGCCGCGAACGTTGTGCGCTACACACGTGACTCTCTTAGTCTCTGCCGCTGTCGTGCCGGGCTGCCACATAACCGTTAACGGTTAAACGCAAAAAAGCTTACAGCACTTACAACAACAGCAACTGCAAGTCTTGTGACAGTGTGAAAGAAGAGAATTAGAAAAGCTGCTCAACGCTGAGCCGAGAGTGTACTACATTTTGTGTATGTGTATGTATGTGTGTGTGTGAGTGAGTGTGCGCGTGTTTATATATCCGTGTGTATTTGTGTGCTTTGTAAATGTCTCTGAGCACAGATCGTTCATACAAAATGAAGCTGCGCGATGTGGAAAATGCCTTCAAATACAGGCGCATACCTTATCCTAAGCGGTAAGTCATTAAAAATAAAAAATTAAAAAAAAAATCAATAAATAATTAAGATATTATATATATACTTGAATTGTTTTTATGCTTGTCTTCTGAGTTTGAGGCATGTAATTGCAAACCGGTCATCATTGCTTATTGGACTCCAATAAGACTTGACGTGCACTCAATTCTGGCTTGATTCTCTGTTGTTAACTTTCGGTTTTTTCAACTCGCAGCGAGCAAAAGTGAAACATAATTTTTTTTGTTATCTTGTGAGCCGATCTGAACCGATTGCAAGTGAAAAAAATCATATAAAAACGCATTTCATGGTCATCTGCAGCGGCAAATGCAGCTGCCACTGTCGCTGCATTAGCCATCCAATCAGAATACTCTTAACGTGCTCCAGTTTCAAATAACTTGAAGTCAACTCGCATTTTTTTTTTGCTGTTTGTTGTTTTTCAATTGTTCTGCAGTCATATTTTATTTCGGGGCCAGTTTTTTTTTTCTGTTAGCCAAAAAAAAATAAAAGAAAAACCTCGAAAACTCAAACTCAAACTAAAACTCCAATTCAAACTCAAGTATCTCAAGTAGCCACAGTGCCCCACACCAGCTACCGATTCTTCTTCTTCTTTGTTGGTTTTCTTTTCATCGGTTTTTGTTTAGGTTCTGGCCTGCCTTTTAAAGCGCTCAAATGATGGCTAGCTGGCTGGCTGGCCGCTCATTAGGCGCTGCCCGGACTATAGCGGGCCGGGCCATTAGTTAAGGTGTTTTGGCCACGTTGCGCTGCGTCCGCTTATTGTGCAACTTGTGGCAAGACCCAAATGTGTTGCAATTGAGAGCGCATTAGATGTAAGCTAATGATATACCGAACAAACACTTGTTATGGCCTAATTGGTATTTGAAAAAAGCCAACGCAAAATAAAAATAAAAGCAAAAGGCGTTGATTGTTGATGTTGCGGTTTTTCTTGTAGGTGTGGGAATTTGCTTTAGCCTCAAGATGAATAAACATTAGGAAAATGTTAATGAAATAACAACAATCAACAGAGTTGGCCATAAATGAAATTCATAACGAATCAGAGTAGAGATATGAGCTTCAAGTGAATTTTATCTTTATTTAATTTATTATATTATTTATTATATTTTTATCATCAAGAAATAATGATTTTTAATTATTTTTGATACCTTCAAGCAAATAATTGATATTAAAAAATCTAATATGGCATAATAATAATAATTTATTTGTATTTTAATAGAATAATTATTTATTTCATTCACACAAAAATATTTATTATTATAGTATATATGTATATCTATTTCTATATTACATTTTTTAATTAGTACAACTACTTAAAGTTAACTTCATGCTAATAAAAATAAAATTAGCGTGAAAACTCCATGCTAATATATAATGAATCAATAATTAACAGAGTTTTGGTAATTAAATTAATATTGATTAATATTTATATATGTACATACATAAAACTAAAGCTAATATTTACAACTATTTTATTTTTAATCAATTTACTTAAATTTAATGCTAAGAATAAAAAATAATAACAAAAACAATATTACCTAATTGAAATATTTCAACTAATAATAAAAGACAAATATTATTTTTATATTTGAATATATATTCTTCTTACAAATGCTTTGTTTTTTTTTTTATATTTATTTAAAAAAAAAAAATGTTTATTGTAATGTTATTATTATGTTATGCCATTTTTGTACTCCTCACATATTTATTCATTTTAATTAATTTCATGTTAAATACGAATAGCAGAACTGTCTTTGATTTCATTTCAAATAAATACGAGTTAATAAACACGTATTTAATTATATTTTCCAATATTGTTGTTATGTTTAAATAGTCGCCCGTCTGTTAAGAAAATAAATTACTTATTTATAAATTAATTGCATTTAACTTTTCGTAGGGCGTTTGCATTAAATTTTACGCTCATTTTGACAATTTGTACGCTTCGGTCGTTTGGCTATTTTAATTTAGTCAGTCGGTCATTCATTCAATCAATCAATTGGTAAACAGCTTTTAATTGGTATTGCAATTAACCGAAAAAAAGAGGGAAAAACTTTTGTTTATGCCACAAAATAAAATAAATATTTGTTGCCGTATTGTCACACTGGAAAGATTTTAACAAAATCAAAATAAACTACAAATATTGATGCGGGCATTGAGCTTTTATTTACATTACTCGTGCCCTTTTGCTGTTGTTGCTGCCGCTGCTTAATTGATATTAATTAAATTAATTAATTGCAAAATCGTTGCATCGTTTGATCAACAGGACTCCGTATACATTCATTGGTTAACGTGAGCAGCTTTTGAGTGCTTGTTGTTTAAAAATGCATACACAAAAATGCACTTATTGATTAACTAGCCATTTTATGCAGCTCTTGTTGAAGTTAAACAATTAAATTAAACTCATTACAGAGAATGCAAGCTAAGAGAGTGCTGAACAGTGGGAAAGTACAGTAGCAGTAGTTTATTAACAGAACTGTCAGACAACACCATCTCCCAATCGGGTATAAACATCACTGTTAAGCATGCTAACACTTGTTATTGTCTTTGAATTCTTTTGCTGATTCTGTTCAAAGTCTCACACACAGAACGATTTATCTGTTCACTCTCTTTATGTGAATATGTATGTAAATCTGTTAGTAAAACAATTGTTATACCGCATTCTATCAATAAAATTAATTTGTATGCATATAATTGCATCTATGCATATGTATGTATTTATTACCACACAATAATGTGACGTCAGATGCTACGAGCTGTGTATATTCAATTAGAACTTTTACACTTTCACGTACGTACGTAGGTATCCCTCATAAACCAACTCAACTCGTTCCCCCTCTCTTTTACCCGATCTCTCTCTTTTCTCGACTACCGAAATTAGCAGCTACTGTTGCTGTTATTGCTGCTGTTTTCTTTAATCTTAGCGTCGCAATGCCGACGCCTGCTGCTTTTGCACTGCTTGATAGCAATTATGCCAAGCACTGCTTGATGACAATTAAATGATTTGGCTGGCAGACCGACAGTCAAAAGAAATCATTTGCAGCAGTTGGGCGCATTGAAGCTAATTATTACGGCTTTCTTGTATTAGGTGTGACTGTTTGCCAAATCAACTTACATACGCACAGACACACACACACACACAATTACAAATTTTTTCTGTATGCACAATTAGTTTATTAACTGTCGGCCGATAAATGTTGTGACCATCAAAGTGTTCCGTTCGTTTGTTTTGCGTCTTTGGCTTTTCCGTTTTGTGCTTTTTATTTTTACAACAAGAATGTGTAAGCTGTTGCCGCTGCAGACGGCAGCGAAAGCTTTAACGGTTAGCTGGCGTCTGGACTCTTTTTTTACATTGACCGGCGGCGCCTGCTGCTAGCCTGTTACACATATGCTGGCGCCACAACAGTTGAGTCTCTCAACATTTGCATGTAAAGATGCCGTCGCTCTGTTACCCGCATCTGTTGGCTTGCCATGTTAACAGATCTCTTTTCGCACGCAATTTAATGGGAGTGAAAGCCTAAAATTGTTTACATTGCTGCCAACTATTATAGCCATTTTATAACCGTAACTGTTTAACGCCTTCTGGTCACACAAATATTTTAGATGTTGACTAAAACGAGACACAGACACGCACACCCACACTGCGAATTGCCAAGACTCTATAACAGTCCATTATGTTTATATGAAAACAGAATGAAGATTTTCAAGAGAAATGGAACTAAGCGACTTTTGCATAGTCCTAGTGAGCCCACCCACAAAGGGCAGCTGTTATACAGTTATATTATGTAAAACGGTCAAAAGTTCGCCATGTTTCACTGTGTAAACACTAAATTGAAAAATACAACAGCAAATATCAGACAATATATAGTAGAAGGTAAAAACTGATTAACACAATCATGTGAAAAATGTGCAACACAACAGTTTTGGCAGAAAAATAACAAACAACAGCAAAAAGTGGAAATGAAGTGAATAGCTTTCACTTGATATACAAATATGGACATGCCGGACGGAGTCCGTCGGCGAGTGGGCGGGGCGTACAATGCGTAATGTTAACGATAATGTTGTACATCATGGTTGTAGTTGAAGCGTTTGTTGTTTTTGTTGCTTTAGTTGGCACGCGCGACTGACTTGCAGTGCAATGCAAATGTCTTTAATATATGTATGTATAAGGGAAATAATAACAAAGAAAAGGTGATATATAGGTAAATATTCACGCAAACAAAAATGGGTTAATGGCTTGTTATTAATATGTTTTGTTATTATTTTGCACGTTACATAAGACTTGATTAGACTGTATTAATTAATTTATCAATTTTTATTAAATAATATATTTTTTTTTATTATATTTTTGTTAATAAATTTAATAAAATGGCCTTAAATAAATTTTTGCATTATTAAATTGTTTATCAATACTTTTTTATAGCATTTTTATTGCTAATAATTTTTTAAATATATACTGAAAACTATTTTGATATAAAAAATAGTATTTCAATCGAACTTAAATACATAGCTTATTAGCTGAACATAAAATTATAATACTTTAAATTCTGTTAACATGTTACTGTTAATAGCACTTAACATTTTATAGCATTATACTGCTGCAGAGTGCCACAAATAAATGTTAAATATCTTGATTGGGGCACACTTTGACAATTCGCTAAATTTCTGACTCAGCCACTTAGCAACTTCAGAGTATTCGATTTATATGCATATATATAGAATATATATATATATATATATAAAGTTAACTGAATCATCTAGATGCTAATTGCTCTTTTGCAATTGAAGACAACCGCTGACGCCCCTTTGCTTTCACTTGACGCCCTTTTTTTTTGCGGCGGCGTCGGCATCTAATCGATTGTGACAGTTCTGCGGCCGCATTGCCTAATGGTCGCCGATCCACCCAACCGCCGCACCGCCCAGCGCGCAGTCAGTTTTCTACGCTCGCTTAGTAAACCGAGCATGTTCCATGGTCCACGCTCTTTTGGGTGCCATAAAAAATTCTGCTCGCCAAGTAGCTGGCGCCCATAAATCTGCGCCGTGTGCTGTAGTTAAGGTGATTTACATACTCGAAAGACTCCACTCTGCGTCTACATCGCTGTCTCCATACTTTACGCCAGGTAGTTACTCACTTTCGCTTCTCTATGAGTACAGCAATTGCAAAAAGAAAAAAAAAACCACCTAGATAAATTAAATTGGAATTGTTGCCGCTGTTTAACCAAAAAACAATTTTTACAACTCTTGCATTAAATTTCGATATGAAGAAAAAGAAAGAAACAACAAAACTTAAGCAAACATCTGATCTGTGTAAATTAGATTCGGAAGAACAAATCTGCTTTGAGATTTATTATAGTTATAACAGTATAACAGCTTAGTACAGAAGTGAAAGGCTCACATGAATCCTATTGTAATCTTAATAAATCTTAGCTGATATTAAGAACATATGATTTTCTAAGATTAGATTCAAGTATACAAGTTTTCTGGAAAGTAAGGGAAAGGCTGAACTATGTCTGCGCATTCGTTTGAAGTATAATAGTATAACAGTTTTGCTCAAAGTGAATAAAAATGCTCAAAAAACATTCATTGTAAAGCTAAGTTATTTAATATTTGTTATACCTTACATTAAATTTTAGTTTTCAATCAAGCTGTAAACATAATCGTATAATAAACTTAAAGTATCTATTTAAGCTTCTTCTCACATAAAAGTTCATCTATTTAAGGTTCGTTAGCTGTTAAATCGAAACGTACGAATATGCCCATTAAACTGATGCCTCTAGGCAGATTCTTGTTAATGAACCAGAGTTATGGGGGCCAAGACTCAGCCGTAGCTCCTCTTGCTCATTGCTTATTGTTGTGAAAGGCTAAAATCAAAAATGGATTTTAATGATAGCAAACAGCAAGCATCGAACAGCAGCGAGCATATTGAAGTTTGAACAACATGTTCGTAAAACATAAATCTCTGCAATCATTTTTTTCCTTTCAATGTTTCTTTAGTCTAGTCAATGTGTTACCAGCCACGTGCTGTGCGGCCGAAACTCTCATTTCTCAGGCATATTAAGGGCATTCCCATTTTGCCCATATTACGTCGTGTTTTCAGCTTCTTCTTTTTTTTTCTGGTGTTCATTTTGATTGACCGCCCGCTGCTGCCGAATGGGCTCAGTGCTGTGTGACTGTGCGGCAGGTGCTGTGACCCACACGTAACTTGAGGCAAATCGCAAACAGCGCACCTTTCACCAAAATTAAACAAAAATCAATAATAGATCTCAGAGTAAAGCGCACCTAGTCGAGTGCTTTGCATCTTTGCTCAGCTGCCTTTCTATGCAGCTGATGCGCATTGCCAATCGAATGGCTCATGCGTGCAGCTAACTTAAATGAATTTCGGTTGGCAATGCGGCGTGGCAACAATCGTTCAGCTTCCTGAATTTCAAATCTATAAACTGGTTGCTAACTAGAAGAGCGTATTTTCAGAAAAAAGCTAATCAATCAATTTATTTAGATTCAGTAAGCATAAAAACCATATAAAATGATTTTGAATTATTTTTAAATTTATTTTAAAAGTAATAAAATTTTTTTTTATATTTTTAATTTCATTATAATGCATCTACAAATTATTTAAAATTAATTTAATCTATTTCAATAGAGACTACACATTTGTTTTTAATTTTATATAAAAATCATATAAAATGATTTTGAATTATTCTTAAATTTATTTTAAAGTTAATAAAAAATTTATTTTATATTTTTAATTTCATTATAATGCATCTAAAAATTATTTAAAATCAATTTAATCTATTTCAATAGAGACTTTACACATTTGCTTTAAATTTTGTATAAAAATCAGTTTTATTAAATATATAAAAATTTTATTTAATATTAAAAAATACTATTTGACAATTGTTTTTAATTTTATATAAAAATCAGTTTTATTACAAAAAATAAAATTTTTGTTTAATATTAAAAAATACTATTTTACACTTTTAAATATTTTTTAAAGCATCGATTAAATTTTAAAAAAATTTATTTAAATGTATTTTAAAAAGTCATATAGACATTTAACTTGATTGCCAGAAATTTCAAACTCAGGCAGCTTTGTTTTTAAATATCATTAATTTTATATATTTTCCATTGGTAAGACAATGGAAAATATACTTAAAAAAAACTCCTTGACTTTGAAATTAATAATGTTAGCGTTTAGTTAAATTGGATGGCACCACTTTACATTACCGCACACTATGCGCATAATTTGTGAGTTCAAGCCGGACCTGCCGAGAGTGCGCAGCGGCGAGAATTTAACGGGACAGATTGTATTGAAGACAAGAGCTGCGGAATCCATCAAAAGTATTTACATCACGTTCATTGGCCGCGCAGATGTGCACTTCGAGGAGACACTCGTCAATCGCGAGAGTGACGAAAAGGCACCCGAAAGACTTGTCTCGTCAGCAACCGAGACGTATATGACATATCGGAGTGAAATTTTCGGAAAGGCAAAACTGCCAAAAGGCCAAAATACCTTTGCATTTGCAATACCACTTCCATCGCACTGCCCCACCTCCATCTCGAGCAAATTCGGAAGGGTGTGGTATGAGCTGTCACTCGTAATAGAACGTAAGTGGAAGACGAATAGGATATACAAAACGTCGATAGATGTGGTGCAGCCCTACGATCTAAGCTCAGATCCCAAATCGCTGGTGCCCATTGAGCATGAGGCGATTAGAAAACTCTGGCGCTGGCCCTTTCGGCCGGGCATAATCGACTTGCGCCTCAAAGTACCATCTGGTGGATATTCGCCTGGCCAGAAAATGAACTATACGCTTGATGTCCATAATAAGTCGAAAAGTATAGATGTTAAGAGTTACACAGTGACTCTAGTCCAGGAGTCCGAATACTTTGCCAATGGGTATCGACGCGTCAGCTCGCGGTCCGTGTGCAGCGAAACAAAGTGTGAGCTAGTGAAACATCTGACGAAACGAACGATAAGTGCCAGCTACGAAATACCATCAGTGGCGCCCTCATCTCAGATGAAGACCATAATCAAGGTATCGTATAAGCTACGGATGACTGTAATACTCACCGGTTGGCACCTGAAATGGTATATCGATGTGCCCATTACAATCGGCACAAGCCCATTGGCTTCCAGCTCAGATGGTAGTTCCAAGAAGATGCGTAAAAGAGGTAAGCCTGCTGCACAAAGACCAATGCCAAAGAAACGCAGCACCCACTCCTGTTCATCGGGTGCATCGTTGGCAAGTCTACCAAAGCATGCTATCAAGAAGAAAGATTTATCGGATGTATCGGATGGTGTATCGGATAGTGAATTGGGAGCTGTACGAAACACTCCTTCAGAAGTCGTGCCGAAAGTGTGTTCATCATCTCTATCTCTACAACTAATTTCAATTCTATACGCTGAATTCTTTTAAATGCAACAAATTTCAACACTATGGACTGGCTGCCGACCTAAAAATTTTAATTTGTGAACTGCTTGCTAATTCTTCAATCTTAGAAAGCTTTGGATTTTATTTACCTTTTTATAGAATTGAGAATACATATGAATATACGACTAAGATTTCGAAATTAACAATGGTATTTTAAATTCAATTCAATCAATTGCTACTCTGTGCTTCCCTTTGACATGTCCACCGTTTGTGAGTTCATGCTCGATCGGCCCAATGCAGTGTTGTACAGCGGCGAAAGAATCACAGGAAAGATTGTATTGAAAACAACTTCGGCGAAAACTGTAACTGGCATCTATATACTCTTTGTGGGCCTGGCGCGAGTTGCCTTCGATGATACGCGTAGCGCTCATACCAGGGACGAGCTGAGAAACGAAAGATATGTCTCAACGGCAGTCGAGACGTATACGCGATATCAGCAGAATGTTGCCGATAGAGGCCAACTACCGGATGGCACGCACACCTATACGTTCTCCATTCCACTGCCGGCCCATTGCCCCACCTCGTGCCTGGGCAAGTACGGCAAAGTGTCGTATGAGCTGTCGCTGGTCATGAATCGCCTGATTATGTTCAAGAAGGTGTTCCGCAAGCCGCTGGCCGTGCTGCAGCCCTACGATCTTAACCTGTATCCAGAGATGCTAAGGCCCATTGAAGTGGAGAAGACAAGAAAGTTTTGCTGCTGGCCCTTTGGCGGTGGCTCCGTCAAGCTGAACCTCTACATTCCATTCGGTGGCTATGTGCCCGGGCAGACAATCAACTATAGCCTGCATGTGGATAATATGTCGCAGAATGTTGATGTCAAGGCCTTCATGATGACCCTGGTGCAGACCTACACATTCAAGGTGGAAAATACCCGACGCGTAGTTCATACATATATGCGCGGCGAACGGGAGACTAAGCGCGTGGCTCATCAGACGAAACGAAAGCTGAGTGGCAGCTACGAAGTGCCTACGGTGCAGCCCTCGTCCCAGGGACCCCACATAATACATATATCGTATAAGCTACGACTATCTGTCATATTCACCGGCTTCCATCTGAAATGGAACATTGAAACGCCGATTACTATCGGCACGATTCCATTGAAGCAGAGTGGAAATCGCGACCAGACGAAAGAATTTGTACCCGATGCCGAGAAGATCGCAAAAAGCCAAGTGGATCGACCGGCTCTATACACTAGTACGACACTCCTCTTCCAGAGTCCAGAAAAGATACGTAAGCATTTCGTGGACCCCCACGAAGAGAGCAGGAATCGCCCAGACGATTTCATGCCGATCTACACCGTTTACGCCTACTACGCACAGCCCAAAGCGTCGCTCAAGAGACGGCGAGGGCTGACGCCGAGCAATGACTCAACATCCGAGACTGCTTCGGAGAAGGATATAATTGTAGATCCAGATCAGTCTCCAAAAAAACCAACAGATTAAGTAATGCTTGTAGTGCGAACGGCGAGCGTTTTAAATTATTATTTTCCTCCCTGTATTTATTGAAAACGTCTATTCGGAACTTATATATAAATATTTATTCTCAATGCTGGCTGTACGGGGATTTGACTTGGCGTAGGTTTAGATATCTGCATTGGTGTTATTCGAACTATATATGTATATATATATATAGCAATATATGTATGCTGAGAGAGATAGAGAGAGATAGATGAGAGAGAGAGAGATAGAGAGAGAGATAGATAGAGAGATAGATAGAGAGAGAGAGATAGATAGAGAGAGAGAGAGAGACTGAGATATAGAGGTTCGATAGAGAGAGAGCGAGAGAGACTGAGATATAGAGGGAGGCAGACTGAGATATAGAGGGAGAGAGACTGAGATATAGAGGTCTCTCTCCCTCTCTCTCTCTCTCCTAGTATCTATCTCTCTCTCTCTCTCTATCTCTCTCTCTCTCTGTCTCAGTTTCTCACTTCTTCGTTATCAGTTTTTTCACTAAGCTATATATTCTATTTAAGTATATCTAAACTTCTCTCTCTCTCTCTCGCTCTCTTTCTCTCCTCTCATACTTAATTCATGCAAATTCTGTCCGTCGCTTCTATCTACCGTTCTCTATCTTTCAATTTCCTGCCTCATATACATACATATACATAAATCATACACATATATACATCCATATATCCTACATAATTTTTTAAAATATCCTCTCTATGACCCCAATATTTTTCTTCGGCTTCTTAAACAAAACTGAACCAACTTCCCATTTGTTTTTAAGTTTTTTTTGTTAGTTCATCTTTAAAAATATTATTTTAATTATAAATACCGACGCTCTTGTATAGTTAGTTTTGTTCGTTTGTCCACTCACTTATGTTGACTTCATTTCATGTTTCGGCAACAATTTTATTGTTTTGTTAACGTGTAGCTTTTGTTGCCTCGAACCACTCCTCGGCGATGCTGAGATGCTGAAAAATGCAGTTTTTAAATTTTAATTATAGTAAACGCTTAAGAAAAAAAAATTGTAGACTGGACCGGCTCTGGACCTGGCCTAGACGCAGCCACAGCCAGCGCCAGAGCCAGCTCCAGTGCCCCAAGTGCTCCCGCAGCCCCAACCCCAACTCCAGCCCCGCCTTGTGGTTAGCCGCTGCCCAAAGCCAACAAACACAAATGGCAGAGCACATGACTCGAATGCGACCATTGCGTCATAGGAGTGCACTGCAATGAACAAAACCAAAAAAAAAAAAGTTGTAACCATGCACAGCAACCGCATATTTGTCGTGAGCATTTTGTTACAATTTCAATTTGTTGCTCCGAGACTTGTCTTGTGACTCTAGTGAGTGAGTGCGCGGGGTCGTTCGGGGTCTGTTCGGCTGCTTAGGCGGCATTGGCTGCGACTCGCCTTTGTTTTTTACGATCTTTTTCTTTGTGAGCTTTTGCTTTATTTTTTTTAGTTTTTTGTTTTGAAAGTGCATTCGACTTGGTCTTGGCCAATATTTGGCAACAACAAAACCAAATGGCAAAAACTTGAACTGCTTTATTGCAGTTTTCGGATTCTTTTTAGAGCAAACTGCCGGCCTTTTATGGTCTTCTTCTTCTTCTTTTTTTTTCGTAGTTTTCTGTGCTAGCTGACAATTGTGAAGTGTGCGAGCATTAGGCGTGGGCTTCAAGTGCAATTGATTCCAGTGGGCAGCATCAATTATTGGCACATTGAGCTGTTGCTGAGTTGGCTTTAAATGGCCATTTAAGGCCGAATTGTAAATGGGGTTGTGAATTAAAGAATGATTTTGTCTTCGAAAATGATTCACTTTTGATTATAGATAGTCGCAATTTATTTAATATTATTATATATAAATAAGACAGATTAACATTTGTGTATATGAATCAAATTAAGTATACGCAATGTATTAATATATACTGCACTATACTAAACTATTTTCCATTGTTATTGTGCATATAATAAAGAAATATTTAGTATACATATATGTGTATATATAATTACTTCTGCTTTGGAAAATTACAGTAATTGAATATTTTCATAAATGCAAGGTATAAATGTATTAATACGCAGTGTAACTCTCTGTTTGGATAAATGAAGAATTCTAATTTCGTTTATCTTTTCATTCACTCCTCAATTTTCACTTTCAATAAAAATATAAAAATATACTTTTTAATAAAATCTTATTATGTATAAATAAATAAAAATAAATAAATAATTAATAAATAAATAGATAGATAAATAATTAAATAAATAAAAAATAAATAAATAAATAAGTAAATAAATGAATGAATAAATTAATAAATAAATAAAAAAAATTAATCAATCATTTTTTTTTTAAATATATCTTTATTTATATATTTATTTACATATTTATTGATTGATTTATTCATTTACTTATTGATCAATAAAGAAATAAATAGATCAACAAATATATAAATAAATATATAAATAAAGATATATTTAAATAAATAATGAAATAAATGAATATATGAATACTAAATTAGGTAATATATAAACAAATATATAAATAATAATAAATAATAAAAAACCTATAATAAAATGAAAATATTTTTAGATATATTTTTATCAGTTAAGTATACGTAGCGTCGTTCTGCTTTGTTCGTTTCAGTTTCTATAAATAGCATTTTTTATTCTTTCACATATAAATAATACAATAAATTGACTATAGAGCATATTATGATTTACTATTTATTTTTATTAAATTTATATTTTAAAAATAAGATTTATAAATATAAATTTTATAAAAGATTACACACACTGAAATCAACACTGATTGGTATACAATTTTCTACTTTATATAACGTTTAATTGAAAATAGGTTTTAGATTTTCCTGACGTCGAATCAACTCTAATTGGTTTATAATTTGTTGTTTCTTATATTTATTGAATAACCATTTTTTTTTTTTTTTTTTTTTTGATATGATATAGATCTTCTATAGCCTTGAATCAACGCATTTCCCGCTATAATTATTAAACAGGCTTTCACCTAAGATTAACGCCCATTCAATGCTCTTTGAGCACACACACACACACACACACACACACACTTTTCCCTAGAAAATTGGCCTGCGGCAAAAGTGAGAGGAAATGAGATCTTAGACGGTGTGTAAATTGATAATTTACTTGATTGCAGCTGGAAAAAAAAATGATTTCAATTTAATGCTCTCTGTGCTCGACAAACGCCGGCAGTTGCGCCTCAGGAAAGTCGGCTGGCATTATGCCTGCTGCAGAAAAAGGCGATTATTTGCAATAGAGTCTTGGCATAATGGCATAAAGTGCCTAAGTTGTGCGAGCGATCCAAAACTGAAAACTTGCCATTCAAATTGGTGTCAACCAGTCAACGGGACGCCAAAGAAAGTGGCGCCAGCTTCCAAGCAGAGGCGCAGGCAGAGGCAGTAGCTGAGGCGCAGACAGAGGCAGAGGCAGCTGACGCCCGCCTTGCCAGGCGAAGGCTTTAAAGTAGGTCGTCAGCGTCTGCAACTCGTTTTGCTTCACACACACACACACACAACTTGCATATAAAAATATCAAACAGAGTGCGTCCCAAGGGAGTTGCTGCCCACACACACACACACACACACAAAAACAGAGTCTAAGTTGCATTAAAAATTAAATTTTATTTGCAGAGCTCGCAACTCGCATGCTTTCAATTTTATGCCAATCGCCTGGAAATTAATTAAGCAATTTTCCTTAGCAGCTTTTCCTTTATTTTGCTTTACTCTCGCCTCCCTCTCTCTCTCTCCCACTCTCTGTAATATGCATTTATGCTAATTGTTAGGAGTCTAGTTTGTGGGCGGACAGCTGCAGCAGCACATGGCGAAAGCTGAAGACATGCACGATTATGTTTTTCTTTTTCTTTATTTTTTTTTTGGCAAAAATATTGAAGCTCCGCCAGTCAATGAAGAGGAAATTGCAAAAACAGCGACTGCTAAGTAATTAAAGTTCTGTTCAGGACTCATTTATGGGCAGCAAAGTGCAATTTCGATAATCAATTCAGCACGCTTAAAGCTCGCTGCAGCTGAGCTCAATTGATAATGGTAATGCATGGCATGCGCTTATCTGGGCCCAAACAGCTAACCGGGCTATAATTGAAAGCTTGTGCCACAAGCCTCCAGCTGCTCTGTAGCCAGCTTTGTATAGCGCTCTGCATCCCGCTCTGCATCCCGCTCTATATCCTTGCTGTATAGCTGAACGGCATGCAGGCGTTAAATGAGTAGCGTTTGACAAGTTTCTTGTTGTTCTCAAGGCTATGGCTGAGATCAGAAATTAGTGTGCCGAGCTGCATGCCAGCATCCTGACCTAAAATCTACAACCAACACACACACACACAATCGCACACACACACACTGACAGAGAGCAAGCAAAAATTAATTGCAATGCCGCAAATGACAGCGTCAAGTAGTAAAAGTAAGCAGAAGATGCCAGTGTCTGGCTTTGGCTATGTGCGGGGCGTGGCACGTACGCTGGTTGCAACAAGGATGAGCTCGTTAAAGGAAGCGACGACAACAACAGCAACAGCAGCAGCAGCAGCAGCAACAACAAACGTCGAGTGCGTAAATTTCGCTTTACTGTTGCCATTGTTGTTGCCAGCAAATGTTATTAACATTCGCTGCAAGCAGCACGTGCTGCTGCCAAGTCAAAAAGTGGGCGTGACGCGCACACACCGACACTCTCACACACACACACACACATACACTCTAGCAGTGTTTTTTTGTCTTGAACGCTTTTCGCGCCCCTGCCACATATTGAGGCAGGAAAACGCGTAAAACTTTTGAGTAAATTGCACTCTGGCACATGGCAAAGTCTTTCGCCTAGGCGACCACACGAAACATCCGCATCCGCAATCCGCAAAATCCTCTGTGCTCCGCACAACCGAATTAAGCTGCACAGCGATTCCTGTAGCTGCGAAATGGGCTGCCTCTGGCCAATTCAAGAGCTGGCAAAAACAGCAGCCTACTTAGGTAAATTTTACTGGCCCGTGGGCGTGGCCGTGGCCTGAAGTGCAATTCGGATTTGCCCAGTTGCGCTGTT